CCATTCCCCGCTATCATTCTATGGGCAAAAATAAAGGATCGCTATGTTGACTTTCTACTCGATACCGGCGCTTCAGCAAACTTTCTCTCTCCCTCTATTGTGGCTGAACTTTCTCTTCCCGAAGATCCCAACAGCAACCCACAGGACGTCATCATGGCAGATGGTACTCGGCGGCGCTGCGGACCTACTCTCCTCCCCGTGCACTGCATGTTCGGAAGTCTGGAGGCGACGGTCACGTTCGAGCAAATGCACCTCGGCGGCTATGAAGGCGTGCTCGGACGACCGTGGTTGTACCAGCTTGGACCGCGAATTTATTGGCGTAACGCAACGGTCACCGTCGGCAACTACGACCTCCCATCCCGCTCCTACCGCCGCCCATGGTCATCCCCAACAACTTCAGCCTCATCAACCCATCCACCCCAACCTGCCCCACCTCCAGCCTCCCATATCCCCCCTCTTCCTCCTCTCATAGCCCCCGCGCAGCAGCCAACACCACCCGGCTCCCCCGAAGTCATCGACACACCTCCTCCTTCCCCACCCCACCCAACCCAGCAGCCACGCCGTTACCTCTTCCGCCCTTTCTCTGAAGTTATCAACCCACCAGCCCCCACCCCTCCTTCACCACCTCCTCCTCATCATCTCCTAGTCATCTTCACGGCTCCCGAATCTGAAGCATCAGCTACCCCTCTGCCACCAACAATTCAGAATCTTCTAAACGGTTATAAGGACGTTTTTCCCGATGATCTACCCGCCGAACTTCCACCCGAACGTGCTATTGACCATAGCATCCGCCTCATTCCAGGTTCTACACCGCCCGTGCGCCCAACCTATCGCATGATCACCGCTGAACTTTTGGAGCTACGCCGACAACTTGATGGCCTTCTTGAGAAGGGTTTCATCCGCCCAAGCACCTCGCCATACGCTGCCCCCGTACTTTTCACTCGCAAGAAGGAAGGTGACCTGCGTCTTTGCATCGACTACCGCGCCCTCAACGCCATCACGATCAAGAACAAGTACCCGCTGCCCCGTGTCGAGGAGTTGTTTGACATGCTTGGGGAAGCAACGGTTTTCAGCAAGCTTGACCTACGCTCCGGCTACCACCAGATCCGCCTCGCCGAAGACGACATCAACAAGACGGCGTTTCGAACCCGCTACGGCCACTTCGAGTTCCGAGTACTTCCGTTCGGTCTCACCAACGCACCAGCCACGTTCATGGGACTCATGAACGATATTTTTCGGCCCTTCCTCGACCGCTTTGTCATCGTGTTCCTCGATGACATCCTCATCTTCAGCAAGTCACTCGAGGAACACGCTCAGCACCTACGCATCGTCCTCGACACGCTCCGCCAACACCGCCTCTACGCCAAGCTCTCCAAGTGCACCTTCGCCCGTTCAAGCATCGGCTTTCTTGGCCACGTCATCAGCTCCAAAGGCATTGCTATGGACCCCACAAAGGTCCAGTGCCTTGCTGATTGGCCAGCACCACGCACGGTAGCGGAGCTGCAAAGTTTCATCGGCCTCGCCAAGTATTACCGAAAGTTCATCTTCAACTTCTCTCACATCTGCGCTCCGTTGACCGATCTCTTCCGCCAAGGAGCTGTTTTTCAGTGGGGACTACCGCAGCAGACCGCTTTCACCGCAATCAAATCGGCACTCACCTCTGCACCGGTCCTAACCGTTGCTGATCCATCACGGCCATACTTCATATGGACCGACGCCTCCGATGTCGCTGTTGGTGCCATTCTTTGCCAAGACCACGGACATGGGATGCAGCCACTCGCATTCGAGTCACGCAAGCTTCAACCGGCAGAGCGCAACTACGCAACACACGATCGGGAGCTCCTTGCCATTGTCCATGCAATCAAGACATGGCGCTGCTACGTGGAGCTGCAGCCCGTCACCGTCTACACCGACCATCGCCCACTTCAACACTTGAAAACGCAGCCCGTGCTCAGCCGCCGCCAAGCCCGATGGGTTGAGTTCTTGGAGCAGTTTGTCCCATCGCTTCAGATCATCTACCACCCCGGGAAGCTCAATCCAGCCGACATCTTGTCCCGGCCACCACCACCAGCCCCACCAGCCACCAACCAGCCCCACCCACCCACCAACCAGCCCCAACACTCCCCAACCAGCCCCACCTCATCTCCTCCACCTAAAACTCCCAACCCACCCTTGCAACTCCATGGAACCAGCAGCATCACATGGGATGATACCTTCATCACAAAGTTTCAGCGCGCCTACAAACGTGACCTGTTTTTTGTCAAGCAAGCACCCGAGGACCCGGCCTACTCATTTGAAGACCCATTTTGGTACAACGCCGTTACAAAGACCATTTGTGTCCCTGCTGATCGCTCCTTACGGCAGCTGCTACTTTCCGAATACCACGACACCGGCAGCCACTTTGGTGTTGAGAAGACCTACGCACGCCTTTCCAACGACTACCATTGGCCACGCATGCACGCTGATGTGCGTGACTTCATACGCACATGCCGAACCTGTCAACAACTCAAAGCACGCACCACCAACCGCTACGGACTCCTTCAACCTATCCCTCCACCTACCAAGGTGTGGGATGAAGTCACCATGGACTTTATCATGGACCTGCCCCGCACACCCCGCAACTACAACGCCATCCTAGTCGTCGTTGACCGACTCTCCAAAATGAGCCATTTCATCCCCACGCACACAACCGTCACCGCACCCGAAACAGCCCGGCTTTTCTTTGATCACATAGTCCGTTTACACGGCCTCCCATCCGCCATCATTTCAGACCGTGACCCTCGCTTCTTGAGCAACTTTTGGCAAAGCCTCTTTAAGCTTCACGGCACCCGGCTGAAATTTTCTACCGCATATCACCCTGAAACGGACGGACAAACTGAACGGATGAACCGCACGCTTGAAGACGCCCTTCGTGCACAAGTTAACGCTCGCCAAACCGATTGGGACCTCCACCTCACCGCCATCGAACTCGCATACAACAGCACACCCCATCTTTCCACCGGCCAGCCACCCTTCTACCTCGCAACCGGACAGCACCCACGCCTCCCAACGACCCCACCCTCCCACCTCTCCCACGCACCAGCAGCCTTTGAGTTCCTCACCTCACTCGAATCAGCCATTGATGCCGCTCGCACCTCCATCCTTAAAGCACAAGCCAAACAGACCCACTATGCCAACTCCCACCGCAAAGATATCCGCTTCAAGGTTGGCGATCAAGTGCTTCTCTCCACGGACCACTTACCTCTCCTACGCAAAGGCACAACCAGAAAACTCGCCCCTCGCTTCATTGGCCCGTTCACTATCACCCGAGTCCTCTCACCAGTCAACTACCGGCTCCAACTGCCCAGCTATATGAAGATTCACCCCGTCTTCCATGTCCAGCGCCTCCGCCCTTATTGTGCACCTTCACACGACCGTCCAGCCACACGCCACCTGCCACCGATGTTCGAAGGCAGCCCCGGCCTGTTTGAGGTTGCATCTATCACTGCTCACCGCGACACACCTCATGGTCGTGAGTTTCTTGTTCATTGGAAGGATCAGCCTGCTAGTGAGGACTCATGGGAACCTGAGAGCCACCTTGACCGTGCTGCAACTGCCGTGAACCGTTACTTGACCAGCCATGGTTTGGCGCCGTGGACGACGCCACTTGGAGGGGGAAGTAATGTAACAGTGCAGCAGCCGAATGCTGCCAACTGCAATGCAGGTGGGCGGAAGTCACTCGTAACAGTGCAGCAACACACTTCCAAGAACAGTGCAGGTGGGCGGAAGTCAAGCGCCACCTCACCTACAGTTCGGATTGGTCAAACGCCTCAACCTGCAGCTGGGCGACCAGATTCCGACACGCAGCCCAAGTCAATCCCACGCACGAAAATTACGAAACGCAGGACACCAAAGTTCCGACCGCTCGCCGACTTCGCCAACAACACCGACGAAATTACAGCCCCGTAACCAAGCTCGCCGGCCAATCCCGTACCGCAATAATTCTCTGAATTTCACGGCAGGTTCATTTCAAAGGGTTGGGTTACCATTGAGAAATTCAGAGAAAGTCGCGACTTGGGAGTGCGACTCGATGTTTGAATGTGCTCTATAAAATTGTACTCTGAAATTTGTGAAGTCATAATGCAATTTCCAGAAAATTCCAGAGAGCACTCTATACTCATTCTCCAAGCCTACTAAGGCTACTATCTCCCTGCCAGCAACGTTTCGCACCACACATGGAAACAGATGGATGGGAGATGTGAGACCATGGCCGTACGATGCGATGACATCGAGTCGACGACATGATATGGCAAAAAAGAACGTGAGAGATGAGGTAATACGCTGAAGGCATCTGGGAGGGGAGGGTCCAAGAGAAAGGAATTGAGGATATCACGCCTTGCGACGGGAAAGTAGAGAAGCCACGCCTTGCGAAGAGGTTTTCACGCCTTGCTTGCAACACACTATCGCTGCACGACGTTTTCCATACACCTGATTGAGCTGAATGAGTATCGCAACGCAATTCGCTGAGTCGCCTTTTCGCGTAGGTCAATCAATGTGAGGGATAACCCGAGCGACGTTTGGTAACTCGCGACGAGCAAAAGTCATCAGTGTGCCAACCCGTACGCGGTAACGGTTTTAGAGACCATGCCCCTACAGATTTCAAGACGCCATTGTATTCACTGTTAATTTCACCAAGAAATCTTTAGCAGATTGTCCACATCCAATCCAACCCATTATACGTCTAGACAGGTGCAAATGGCACCTTATCTCAGTAATTCTGTGAAGGAAACTCTGCAAGCAATGCTTTGTGACTGGAAAGTTGAGAGGAACTTCGTTGAAATGTATAATCCTCCTCACATACGTGTTGAAAAAACTAGGCTTGCAGTAGCAGATGCTGGCAACAAGCCGCACTCAACCAAATGTTGTAAATGAAACACCAAACTTGAACAAGCCAGCTGCCAACCCCAACACAAGCTGTATGGCAGCACATCTGGTCTGGTTACAGAGACTGATCAACGTACCTAATCGCCATAAATAGCGCCAGGCAAAAGATCACTGCTCACTTTCACTCCAGGTAGACTGGTCCTTAGCAGTGTCTGAAAGCTGAAGTCAAACGATCTAATCTGCTTCAAACGAGGTAGCCTCCCCAGCAGCTTCACACCCTTTTCCGTTGCCTCAGAATTAGTGAAATTCAACCATTCCAGTGCAGACAAGTACTGGATGCTCTCTAGGCCAGCATCAGTTGTCGTGTCTGGAAGGATGAGCATTCTGAGCCGGGTCAAAGGTGCCAGAAAGCCCAGTCCCTTGTCCTTTACTCCACTTCCGTATAAATACAGCTCCTCGAGACTTGTCATCCTCCCCACGTGCACGATGCCAGCACATGTCACCCGCTTGCACTTGTAAAATATCAAGGTCTTGAGAGAAGTGAGACACGTCAGGTGAGGCAGCCCAGAATCAGTCACGTGGGTGCGGTTGAGAAAGAGAAATTTCAAAGATCGAACCCTCCCAATGCCATCCAGGGTGCTGTTAGTGACAAGAGCGCCCTTCAGCTCCAGGCATTCCAGCTGTGGTAGCGTATAGAGGCACTTGATGCCTTGAGAGGTAAAGCCTGCTGACGCATCGATTCGAACATGCTTGAGATGAGTCATGCTAGACACGTGGCGAAGGAAGGTATCCGAAAGGCCAGAGCTGCCCTTTAGATCCAGAGTTGGATCAGGATGCTTCGGTGCAGTGCACTGCAACGCTGCTGCCTCATTTGAACCCACTCCTTTCCTCAACTTCTTCACCTCCACCTCGAAAGCCGATTTTCCCTTCTCCACTTTCTGCAAGCTGTCCTGAAAAGCTACCTCCCTCTTTGGTTCCATCAACCCTCCTTTCGCTGTCACCAGCTCCCCCCTTGTCGTCACCAGCTCCCCCCTTAATGTCACTAGTTGGTCCTTCATAATTTCAAGCAACCCCTTCACTGGCGCCAACTCTCCTTTAGCTGTCGCCAGCTCCCTCCTTAAAGTCACTACTTCTCCCTTCATAATCTCCAGCTCCCCCTTCACAGGCGCTAACTCTCCCCTTGCTGTCGCCAGTTCCCCCCTTACTGTCACCAGCTCTCCCTTGACTGCCACCAGTTCACCTCGCACAGTTAGCACTTCCCTATTCACTAGGATCAGCTCCTCTGCTCGGCGCCTCTCAGCCTCCTCCAGTCCCCTCCGTGTCTCCTCCAGCTGCCCTTCCAGCGCCCTCAGCCTCATCTCCATCGCCAGCACCACCCCATCGCCTCCCGCTTGGTGCCCTGGGAGACCCTCAGCATCCTCATACTCTCCCCGCATGTCGGCGCTGCACACGGAAGCACCAAGGCTCCACGGACGCTTGGAGTTGAGAAGTATACCTAAGCACAGGTTTCACGGGCGTATACAAGTCCAGCGCATGACAACAGAAAGCAATGCTTACAATGCGACTTCACAAAAGATATATTTTTTCTTATACATATACTTGACATGCAAGTACATGCGGCCTTTGCAATCGTGCGCTTGATCTGAGAGAACGGAAGTAGACCGATGAAGGCAAAGAAGTGCAAGCGAGAATGCCGCGTCACCTCAAAAGCATAGCAAAAGGGAATAAAACTCTGTTGCGAAATGGAGAAGGCGGGAATTTGGATGACTCTCGAAACTATTTCACATAAATAGACGCCTAAAGCATCCAAAAAGAGTCAACTACAGAAACATTTGTTTTTAAAACATCAACAACGATAAGTACGAACCCGATCGGTAAGACATCGTCTAGAAGAGAAACGATATTTGTAAATATCGGTTCCATAGTCGCGAGATAGGTTCGAGAGCTGAGGAATAGACAGGCACGAGAGGTCGAAAAGGAGATTCTAGCGGATTCTAACGACGAATCCGTCGAATACCTCAAGGTGGAACTAAAAGCGGAACTCGCGGCTACTTTCTTGGTTTTTTTGAAGGGGGGGTATTTGCTCGCCGAGACAGCAGGCGCGCGGTACGTCGCAAAGGAGATGTAGTGGTAGGAGCAGCGTAAGTCGCAAAGTGAGTGACGGGAGGTGACAACAACAAAAATACGCATTTCAATACGACCTAGTGTCGGGGAGACGAGGTTCGCGAAAGAAGATCAACGCGCTGCTTATGACGTCGCGAGATGACCCGCCTTATAACCTACCAAGATCGTGTTATTCGCTTACACTATGGGCGAAGAAGACCACCAAGCTAACGACGGACAAACATTCGCAGCCTGTGAAGGCCCGGCGGGAGATGGATGTGTCGTCGAAAAGCGAATGAACAAACGAGGATAAGGAAGAGAATGGATAGTGTGAGCGGATCACAACACCACCACCACTTGGGTGGTTCGGGAAAGAAAAGCTAGCGCTGGGGGCGGATAGGGAAGGGACCTCAAAATGTTCGTACTCGTGATGGTACCCACACTAATAAACCGCTCTGGATCGTATCAAGCCTTCTTCAGCCCCATTTCGTACCCTATTGGACTGCTCCAGTGCCGACAGCAAACATCAGATGGCACCTGCGATGGGCCTTTCACGTGCGACGAGGAACTCACGCCTGCGGCGGAAATTTCACGCCTTGCGATGAATGCCTCACGCCTCACGATTAGTTTTTCGCGAGCGAGGTCTTTGCGTTGGTTTCGGATTTGCAAGGCACTTCGCCAAGGCTCACACCAGCGTACGGAGCGACCGAGTCCGAAGTTGGGTTAGCGAGAGCTACAGGTGGTAACTTGCGACGAACCAAGTTTGTGTGTGTGCTAAATGGAACGCGGAAGTGACGATGATTAAAAATGTAGAAGTTTCTCTTTCAGAGCCGAAAGTTCTCATGGTGTATACGGAGAGTTACAATAAGGTACTCATGATTGGAAATGGTTTTGCAGCTTGACAATCTCTGCATAACAAGAGCCTCCTTACTTCAACAGTGAGTGAAATGTTTGGGAGCACGATCCATCATCAAACAGAGCGCAAACCACCATCAGGCGGAGCGCAAACCATCTTCATCTTGTTACATACTCTAAGACTAAGAGCCTTACTAAAGAACAATTTGACCTCTTCCTCCATATCCGCTTCTGTCAGAATCCCAGTCACTAACCACTGGGATAAAAGGGCTTGTTTATATAGCGGGTGAGTGCGCCCATAACCCCCCAGGCCGACGTGCCTGTAACCCTTCCCTAGGATCATCGGGGATCCCCAGTGGACCTCTGACACCCCCCCGCACTGGGATGCCCGAAGTGCACACACCGGGAATCGAACCCGAGACCTTCGCTCTGATACCATGTCAGAATCCCAGTCACTAACCACTGGGATAAAAGGGCTTGTTTATATAGCGGGTGAGTGCGCCCATAACCCCCCAGGCCGACGTGCCTGTAACCCTTCCCTAGGATCATCGGGGATCCCCAGTAGACCTCTGACAGCTTCCTCGTGCATTAGCGTTGTGCTGCACTCCTCCCCTGCTGCCAACTGTTCACTCCCTGCCACCCCCAGCCTCCCAACCTCATTATTGCGCACCGCTTCCTCCCCTTGCCTCCCTTTCCTCTTCACCTTGCGCCGGCAGCCGTGTTGACGCAACTGCCCCTTCACTTATAGCAGCTCCTTCTTTAGTGCTATTAACTGCCCCACCAACTTTTCCTTGACCACTACCCATTCTTCCACCAACTCCCCTTTGACTGCTATCAACCAACCCTTCACTGCTGCTTTTAACTCTTCTTTGACTGCTCCCAACTCTGGTTTGACTGCTCCCAACTCTGTTCTGACTGCTCCCAACTCTGTTTTGACTGCTCCCAACTCTTCTTTGACTGCTCCCAACTCTTCTTTGACTACTCCCATCTCTGCTTTCACTGCTCCCAACTCCTCTTTCACTGCTACCAACTCCTCTTCGACTGCTCCCAACTCCTCTCTAACTGCTCCCAACTCTTCTTTAACTGCTCCCAACTCCTCTTTAACTGTGCCCAACTCCTCCGTAACTGCTCCCAACTCTTCTTTGACTGCTCCCAACTCCTCCTTCACATGCATCACGTCTCGCTCTCTCTCCTCCACTCGCCTTCTCGAACCCCCTGAATCATCTGCTCTCACCTCTCAGCCTCCTCCAGTCCCCTCCTTGCCTCCAATTCCCTCCGTGTCTCCGCCAATTCCCTCCTCGTCTTCTCCAACTGCCAATCAAGTGCACTTATCCGAGCTTCCAGGGCCACATTCAGTGCATCTGTTGTCTCCTGCTGGCCCGAAAGACCAGGAAACTCTTCCCTGGCTCCCTGCGTCGTCGTGCTGAGAAAGGACACAAGGACAGAAGATCAGTGATTGGAGAAACTGAAACTTTGAATCATTAAAATAAGGGAGAAGGGAATGAGATCTGACACGTGTGATTGAAAAGGGGTTGAGAGGGAACGGCATTGAAGGTATGGATGTGTGAACAGGGGTAACAAGGTGGGTGTTCTCACAAGGTTTTGAGATGGAGAGCTGAGGCTGCACGTTCCTGTGGCATGGGGAGGTGGGCAGACGAGGGGACACAATACAGGCATTGAGGGCAAGAGACAAGGGAATATAGAAGTGACGAATGGGACGAGGGGAAGAATAGGGAAGATAATGAGGAGAGAGGGGAAAAGAGTGGGAGAGAGGTGCAGAGAAAGGGCCAGAGGGAAGGGAGGGGACGAGAGAGGGAAAGAGGTAGGAAAAGAGAGGGGAAGTGAGAGGGGAACATCAAGAAACGAGAGGAAGAGCTGAGAGGAAGGGAAGACGGGAAGAGAAGAGAGGACAAGTCGCATGGCAGCCCACAAATATACTCTTGGAAGCAGAAGAACTGCCAGGGTATGCACAATTGACTTACCCAAGCGTGCCACACGCGAGTTAAGAACAAAACAGTTCAAGAACAACAATGAGGCTGTGCACAATTGACTGGCCAAGCATGCCACATACGACTTTTTAGGCGCCTAAAAAAATAGCCTAAGAACAACAATGAGGCTGTGCACAACTGTGGTTGCAACCAGTCAGAAGACTGGTCCGGACGTGCCGCATTGGGGAGGGGACGCAGAGGCGAGAGCTGCCAGGAGCATTAGTAGCACGATGCATGGCGGATAAAGAAGCACAACTCATCGCATAGCAAGGACATGACTTATGGTCTAGCAAAGGCTCGAAGGCCTGACTCATGGCATGGCCAGCACCTGAACTACGGCATGGCAAGGGCATGAGCCATGGCATGAGAAGGGCATGACAGACTCATGGGATGGAGAGGTCATACCAGGAAGCATTCGGCTGCAGTTTTCAGCTTCAGCAGCCCATTTTTCAATGCAGATCCCTGCCGGACCACCCACGCTCTGACTTGTGCTTTAGTGACGTCCATCCACCAGAGCAGTATTGTGACTGCCGCCACAGCTAGAAGGATGACTTGCACCTGCTGTTGGTGTTGGTGTTGGTGATAGTATTGAATCACGTGCTGCCTGAATCAATCATGTGAGTGCAGCAGCAGATGCCCGACTCTGAATTTGGCAAGTGATGAAGCAGAGCATACTGTGAGATAAGAGCTGGCGGCCTGGGAATCTGCATTCTGCAAGCATAGGAGGCATGCACGCCTGCCTTTTGAGTCGTTCAAAAGTCGGCAGACTGTGAGATAAGGGACGGTTGCCTGGGCATCTGCATGCTGCATGCATGCGAGGCATGCGCGGCTGCACCGATTGTGAGTGCATCTGGCACACACTCGCAGCAACAACGGGAACAACGGGTTTAGGGTTTATGGCTCACACAGGTTCTGCAGTAGGCAAGAGAGGAAGCTAAGTGGCTGTTGCAGTAGAGTTGAAGCAGGAGGAGGCGCAGGAAGAAACATACATCTGTGCGCTACGACTCGGTCACGGATGTTGGCACATGCCATGCCATCACACCATGTTAGAAAGACAAACCACCACACACCCCATTGACAACACCAATCCCACACGCGTGCACATTCTCACATTCTGCGTGAGCATCTGGTTAAAGCGGGTGTTGGCGTGGTGTGACTCGTTCATGCCCAGCACGCCATTCCTGCCCGGCAGTAACAGTAGTCCGGTCACAGCAGCACTAACAAGTGCGGCCAGCAGCCCTGTCAGCAGCACAGGGGCCGTTTGATCCATCGCCCTGGCCATTGGCAGCAGCGGATCTCCTGGTCTGTGAGGGGAGCAGGAGCAACAGGAGGAGGGGGGGAACCAGCAGCAGCATGAGTCCGGTCACAACAGCACTAACAAGCGAGGCCAGCAGCCCGGTCAGCAGCACACCCGTTGCATCCATCCTCCCGACCAGCAGCAGGCTGTGTGGGTAGCGGGAGCAGAAAGATGACGAGCGGGAGGACGAGCAACAGCAAGAGTCCAGTCACAGCAGCAGCAGCCAGTGCACCCAGCAGCCCTGTCAGTAGTAACACAGCCGTTGCATCAATCCTCCCGGCCATTGGCAGAAGCAGAGCTCCGGGTAAACGCAGGCTGTGCAGGTAGTGGGACAAGAAAAATGATTAGGGAGGAGGGTGGGAGCAGAGAGTCCGATGAGGCAGGATGAAAGGGAATCAGAAGGAGGCGTGGGAGCGAACGGGAGGCTTCGTGGGCCTGAAAATTCAAGTTCAGCCTCTGAGAAGATCAAGCGGAGGTGAAATTTTCCGCAGGGCAATGGGATCACCAAGGGCCGTGGCCGAAGAGGCGATGACACAAAGAAACAGAAAAGGATCTTGCGGTACCAAACAACAAAACAGAGGAGCTTCAGAAATCGAAGGGGGTGAAGTCTCTGCAGGATGATGATGGCCTTTGACGCGCCTTAAAAGTTATGCAATAATGATGATGATGGCATGGCATAGGCACAGCACCACCGAGTACATGCAATGGTGCATTAGCTGAAGAGGTGATAACACAAAGTATACGGAACCTGCGTGGGTATGCACCAGAATATTTCCTTTGCTGGGTTTCAGGTTTAAGGAGAGGACCTTACTGTACTGTCAAGCTGCTTTCATCTGAACCGTTGATATGACACCCTGGCTTGATGACCAGATTTCAAAACCGGAGCTGAGCCGATCAGCAGGACGAAGCGAGTTACAGGAACATCTGTCGTCCTCTTTGACAATTCCGTTGGAAATGAAGTGGCCTGCATTTGCTGGAAGATTGGGTAGAGCGAGCCTGTAGGGAGATCTCAAGCATGATCAAAAGCAGGGCTGAGGAGGGAGACGATATGGGCTTTTGAGGCGCTTCAAAGGTCATCTGACGCATCGAAGGCGGGAAAGGGCAGGTCAACCAGGGGACGAAATGGCTCATCAACTCTTGGAGAGCAGATGACGCTTGGCCGACAATCACACATGGAAAATGGTGAAGATGTAAGGCAGACGTGATCATGCCCGAACGATGCGCTGAGATTAGGGGGCGCAATAAGACAAAACGAATGTAGTGCGAGCTTGGTGTCAAATAGCTATACCTATACCGCATGACTGATCAGATCGGACGGATCGACGACGGTCCCCTTTGCTGTCCCGGTCGCCGCACCCATGATACTGAAGGGTAGGCTTGAGAATTCTCAGAAATACCCTTCAGCATGACTGATCGGATCGGACGGATCGAGGACGGTCCCCTTTGCCGTCCCGGTCGCCGCACCAGTCGAGGGTTACAGCACCGACGTCGCGGCAGCGCTGCCGGGGGCAGAAGAGGGAGACGAAATCGGCGGTGCGGCAGCAAGCAGGGGACGAAACGAAATGGGACCATGATGATACCGTGGATCGGGTGACGCTCGAACGGTCAAGCTCGGTCTACAAGCGAGCTGGTCGGCAACGAGCGAGGAGACCTGGCTTAGCACATGCCTTGATGTCTGCCTTTGCACGTGCCATAAATCTCTTCATTACAACTCTGTTCTCCCGTTCTCAACAGTCAGAACTTCTTTTCGGTGTCCACTGCTAGCCGCCGATCATGGCAGGACAAGGTCTGGGAGGAAAAAAGGTAGGAGAGGAGGGAGATGACGCCAAGAGGAACATCGCACGGCTAGGGGCGCATCAATAGCGCGCACATGGGAGAGGCGTGCGGGGGAAGGCGCGCGGGGAAGAGCCTTGCAGGCTAGAAGCGCGGAGAGCAGAGTCGCGCGCACCATGCGACTATGGAAGGGAAGTGGACGAGAGGAAGGGAGAGAGAGCGGGAAGGAAGGCCGCGGGTAAGAGGCGGATGGCGGGATGAAAGCGGAGCCTGAGACAGCAAGGGCGGAGACCAAGGTTCATGATGACCTCATGCGCTTAGGCCTTGGGAAATCAGTGCATAACGTGGCATCCTAGTGACGGACGCGGGCTGCGGAAAGCGGATGTGGAAACGACAGGCGACCTATGGCGCTGCGGGGAACGTGATCCGAAATGGCCCAGGAACTTCCTAGGCAAGAGTGCGACAGCGGTCCTGTACTCGGTATTGAATAGAACTACCTCGTGTCGTAGCCGTTAGGCTCGTGCCATTTTGGCTTCATGATTAAAAATGTAGGTGCCTCTACGTACGAACAGGTGACATCCTTACCCTTGTCCACCACATCGAGTAGCTTTTAACGAGGACATGAACCCCGTACCCTGGAATCACCTGCGAAAGTGTCTCGCACGGAAGCCTCGGTCAGCTTTCTGCGACGGTTGTGGGAATTGACGTCTGCCGTGCCGTGCTGGGACGACGAAAAAGTTGAAGGGCGGAGCCAGACCAATCAGAGCGCATTGCCACGCCAAATCCAACAAAAATCTTGCCTTGGCATTGTCGCCGAGCAACTGACAGGTGTCACAGAAACGAAAAATGACGTCGCGCGAAGGCTCGAAGCAGCCTTCGCTGACCTTCCTCTGGTGCTTCCGACGACACCGACAGCCTCGAGGATGACGACCAGGCGACAGGTGTGGGCTCAAACGAGACAGCAGCACGAATCGCAGATTGGCAGTAACGTCGCCGAACTACGACGACCGGCTTGGTATTGGCGGACGGAGGAAAAGGAAGGCGCGAGTGTGAGCCAGAAGCAACCAGAAGGATCGCGAGTCGCGACTTGGAGTGAGTCGAAGCGGCTCGTTCTGGAAAAGCCGAGAATTCTCGCCGTCACGCTCACGCATGTCCTGAAGATGATGGGCAGGATCCATAAATACACAGCAGCAAGGAATGCCAAGTACTCAGACACTCGAAGTCCGTTCCCAGCTAGTTGTTTCATAGCACTCGCTGCTCAAAGTACTACCCTAACTCGTCTGGGGCATCTTATAATTAATATTTCCAAATATCGATCGCCGTAGTCGAACTTACCCTTTTCCCAAGCAACTTACTGCTCTTTCAGAAACGATCAGCCGTAATGGCCTACTTCTCTCTGCAAGCACCAACAGATCGCAGCAGCGTGCGAGACACTCGCAAGTCGCACACCGTAAGGTCACAGAGGAAGCAGCAACATCAGCCCGACGCCTCGTCACAGCCTGAACCGCATCTGCGATGGGTCGACCAAGCCCAGGATCTCTGCTCGTCGCCAACGTCGCCATTGTCGCCGTCGTCGCATGACCAAGTCCTTCCGTTCCAAACAGCGCTCCTCGAATCGTTCTTTTCGTTAGACTCTCACGTCTTAGGATCTGGTCAGTTCGGGACCGTGCGACGCTGCACCGAGCGGCTCACAGGCGCGCGCTTCGCGTGCAAGACGATCTCCAAGGACAGGCTTAGAAGCGAGGCGCAGCAGGAGGAGGTGCGGCGAGAAGTTGCGCTGATGCAGCGGGTTGGCGGAAGCGGAGCTGGGGAGGCGGGGGAGGCGCAGGGGATGGCGCATCCCGGGGTGGTGCAGTTGCGCGGAGTTTTTGAGGACGAGCAATCGGTGCATTTAGTCATGGATTTGTGCGAAGGCGGCGAACTGTTCGACGAAGTCGTGCGACGCGGGCGACTGAGCGAACGCGACGCTGCGAACGTGTTCGCGCAGGTCGCATCGGCCGTCGCACACTGCCACGCGCGAGGCGTCCTCCACCGCGATCTCAAGCCCGAAAACATCCTGCTCACGCGCGATCCCTCCGCACCGCTCTCCACCGCACCGCTAACCACAAAACTCGCGGATTTCGGCCTCGCGGTTTCCCTCCAATCAGGCGATCGCGCGATGGGCGTCGCGGGATCACCGTTCTACATGGCTCCTGAGGTCCTTCTAGGCGAATACGCGTTAGAAGCTGACGTTTGGTCTCTGGGCGTGATCCTGTACATCTTGCTCTGCGGCGCGCCGCCTTTCTGGGGCCCGACGGATAAGGACGTGTTCGTGGAGGTTCTCAAAGGGGTAGTGGATTTTAGTGGCGCGGAGTGGGTAGGAGTGTCGGAGGAAGCAAAGCGGCTCGTGCTGAGCCTGCTGCACAGGGATCCCCAGCGACGACCCACTGCCGCGCAAATCCTCTCCCATCCCTGGATCCTCAGGCATTGCCACACCAGCGTGACAGGTTCGGGGGCAGGCTTGGAAGCAGGCACGGGTTACCATGTGGGTGTTCTGGTCGCAGGCTCGGATTTGAGGGCAAATGTGGAGGCACCTGCTGCCATGGTGTGAGATCAGATGTGGCAACCTAATTTATAATTGTAGCTGTAGGTGTGCATTTCATTTCAGGCACGCCTGTGTACAGCATTCTTAGCTTACTTCATCATTTGCTGTGTTCACCTATACTGGCTGTTAAAATATCCGGCAGCTGCAAAACAAATCTGGCAGCTGCAACAGAGCCTCATATACAGAATAATTGAATCATTGTTTCATATCATGTCCGTTTGGGATCAAATTGCTGATTATAGAAATGAAAAGTAGTGAAAAGTAGTCAATTATTGGTTGAGTGGTAATCTTCTTCGGGTAAATTACGCTGCTGCAGAAAGCGAGTTGTCTCAATATCGGACTTCTGATATTGCCGCGGAGGCGACAAGTTCGCTCATTAGATCGGTCTTGCAAGGTTGAGTGCAATATAGAGCGGTGTTTTCCCTTCAGCAGTTTCAGCCAGACCTCGCAGCCTGAAACATTTTCATTCGTGAACCAACTATCATGACTTCGGCAAAGCACAACAGCACCGCTGCTTGTTCCTGTTTCCAAGCTGTCGCCATGGCTCGAAAAGCTGAAGGCACCTCCAAAGGCTGCAAAGCATACGGCGAAGAAGAGGGTGGCAATGATGCTGAGAAGCCAGCGTCAGAAGTCACGGTTTTTGTTTCAGATCAGGATTAGGCTAATGAGGCCGATACTAACAACTCGAAGGAACGGTTCCTAAGCTATAGCGGACAGATGAAATTCCTGAGGCCGTTCCTACTCTTTTCTGTCCAAGTATTGCATCGCAACCTAAAGAGCACAACCAAAGTGACGAAGTCTCTAAATCACAGGTTCGACAATCTGCATTAATATTAGTTTTATTTTAACTGTCGATCTGAGTACGCATCACGCAGATTCCGCTAAACGAGGAACAAACGGGCTTGATGCTGAAGCGAGACGATGCAATACGGACGATCAAACTCTCACGACTCCTTGTGGAACCGATGCACCTTCCGTCGGCGTGATCAAGCTTAAGTATCGCTTGAAGGCAATGCTAAGGAAACCAAGGTTCATTGCGTCGACAGCAATAAAGACATCCAGCTCGTTGACGATGTTCTTTCCGCTGTTAAGACTGGAAGGAAGCGTGATCAAAGTGCTGGCATCACATGCGCCGAAGTGAAGGATGTTATGGACAGTCAAGCCGAGCCTATCGCTGAAGGTAAGGAGCATTAACGGGTTATGGCTACCACAACTACCTTTTCTCACGCTTTTTACTGCGTAATCAGATCAATACAGACGTCCCGCACGAAGGCGATGGTGTTCTTTCTGCTGTTCAGACGGGAAGAGGCGAGTATGACCAGAGCAGTTCACGAATGATACTCGACACAGACAAGGATGCAAGCAACTATTATATTGAGCCGTCCTCTTTTCAGGTCAGAAAGGACTTCGAAGTTTTGCCAGCACCATTACCTTTCTGACGCCTACTCAGTGAAACCAGAACAATGAAGACGTTCAGGACCCCCTGGCGATGATGTGATTTCAGCTGTTGAGATTGGAAGGGATGACTGCTATCAAGGCAATGCACTAACCACCCCGACTATATTTGCTGAACCATTCTCCGCCACAAGATGTCGTGCACGCTGGAAGCGCGTCAGGTTGAGAAGTTCGAAATTAACTCCATTTGCTGTTGTAACATCCGTACCCAACCCATCGAACCAGCTGAGGGAGAAATGTGGGGAAATCTGGTTGGTTGGGAAAGCGAGACTTACGGGCAATTCAGGATTGATTGGGAAACCAACCAATCGAAATTGTTGCTGAGTCAAACTTACGCAATTGGTTTGAGCTTGTTCAAACATAACCCACGTAAGTTCACCTCATCACTAATTCAACCAATCAGATCACAGCCCCAAGAGTGAGTCGACAATGTTTCCGCCGCTCACTTCAAACACAACCAATGAGAAACAAATACAGGTTTGTGATTTATATGCAATTCTTATCCTTGCTATCTAAAATGTAATTGGTTGAAAATCTTGTTTGTTGCCACATGGGCAAGACCCAAGGGAGTGCACCCCTCCTTGCCATGGGGAAGGTGGCTGCACCCCAAGGGGGTCTAGGGAAGGGGTCTGAAGCCTCTTGGCTCATTCCTCATTTCCTACTCCCAACAAATCAATTGGGAAATAGGATTGTCTTCTCCTCAACTCACCTTCCACAGTTTGTTACTGCATCTCCTAGCACTCTCCAGACTTAGTGATTTCCAGGAGCTGTTACTCTCTGTTTGTGTTAGAACTTATCTTTATATGGGTAAATGCCCTTTTTCTTAGTAGATCCGTTACAGCTGTGGCGAGAATGAGGGTGGCGAGCCTGCTAGCAATCGGTATTCCGAAACAGCTTCTACTGAGAATCAAGATTGTGTTTCAGGAAACGAGGTCAATTGCACTTTCCTAAGAGTGCTCCTTTGAAGCCAAAACTTTCTGATCATGAAGATGACAAGGGCACTGCCTTTCTATTTGCTGAGAAGCCTCTATCAGAGGCTAAACTTCCCAGCAGAAGTGATGATTTCAAGAGCTGCTCAATGATGACCCTGAAGACCTACAACCTCAGACTGTTGTTCATAACAAGGACGACTATGAAGACGCAGCCATTGTTGCTCATACATATTCGGGCACAAAGGAAGCTGCTTTCCCTATGCTGGATTAGGGTAACCAGTCTCATCATGCAGAAAAGGTGAGCTCTTTTGTCTGTCATGTGAATGTGCAAGCAAGCAACAAGACAGCCAGGAGCTTTTAACGTGGTACCGTAATCACCCGGACATAACACCCGGGGGTATTATGATAACCACAGGGAAAAAAGGGGGGGGGATCCTCTCAACGGAAAATCCTATATAATACCCGGGTGGTTATATATGGCACTTTTTAGTGTAAGAAAAAAAATTAATTAGACAATTTGGGTGTTTCAATAGTCGTTATAACATCACAGGTTGAGGCGAGAATTCGAGTTTTGGCGAGAAAGCGAGTTTCACCTCTCGGGCCACGTGCAGCAAAAGATTCGCCAGCGTGGCGACAGCGAGATTGTGGAAGGGAGGGAATCTCGGTAGATTCGAAGTGAAAGTGCACGCGAAATTTCATTCAGGGAGCGATTTTCGTCATATCCTCCCGTAAAAAATCTGACTCGATAACAGCTATAATAGGGTTTCGTAAGAAAAGGGGGGTGTTATAAAGAATCGCCCCAAAAGGGGGGGTATAGTACAAACGAGGTCGGCTATAGCACCCCCCCCGCACAAGCTACCCGGGGGTGTACTATTACGGGGGGGTGTTTTGTCCGGGTGATTACGGTAATCTGCACTGTGAAGGTCAATAGCTCTGCTGCAGCACATCAATACCGGTACCTGCTGTTGGATTCAAATGCAACTCATGCACCAGCACTGTGCAGGGATCAGTAATGCACTGCAGTCATCAGTACAAAGTCTAGTAGTAATATTCTGCAACCAGCAGTACCAGTACAGGGAATAACAGGACTAGTATAGTAACCAATTCAGAGTTATGGAGTGCAGGGTCCACATAGCCCAGCACAGCCACTTGTAGAGTACTATATGGTAGTATAGGCATAAAGGAGCAGCGCTGCTCTCTCTACGTTTCTGATTCTGCCATGCCAGCGCCACCATCAAAGTAGATCGGCTCAGCGCAACAGGGGGCTCACCACCAGCGCTAAGATGGGTCCATGATGCGTGACACCACGGATGTCATGGACCTGCCCGGCGCAATTGTGTATGATCGCCATGAAGGAGCTCTTCTGCTCTCCCTCTGTCATGCCATCGCCACGCAGGACCCACACCACATTGTGCAGCACCAGGGACATCGCAGAGCGGTAGGCACATCACAGCCAACTGTATCGACATGACGGACCAGCACTGCAACCAAAGCTACGCGGGGTCAAGATTGTACAGCACCACGGAAGTCATCGAGCTGCCCAGCGCAGCCACTTGTATCGAAGCCGGCACGTCCGAGTAGCTCTGGGTGGCCAGCAGCGTGTTGTTCTCCGTGGCCGACGTGCGATACGTCTCCAGCACACACGCCTGCCCCGCGTCAAACGGCACAAAATCCTCGAATTGGAACGTCGCCGTGTGCGTGGTGTCGCGCTGGTTGACGATGAAGATGGACACAAAGTGCTGGTCGGGATGGAAGAACGAGGCAATGCAGTGCTGGCACCCATCCGACGTGTCGATTTGAAGTGGGAGGCTCCCTCTCGGCGCCCCCCGCACAAACTGCTGCAGCATGTACAACTTTTTCGAGATCACCAGATCCAACGGCTTAACTTCTGTGTCGTTCAACCGGTAGATCCTGATCGCCAACAGCCCCCATTTTAGAAACGCATCTGGGTTAGTCCCCCCATTCCCACTCACTGCCTGCCAGAAGATCCAGGCCGAGGCCCCCATGATGTTCACAGCCTGCACGATCTGCCGCGCCGTGAACAGCATCACGCCGACGTCATTCCCGCTCACCCACATCGGCCCCACCTCCGACACCCACACCTCCTTGCCTATGCCCGTCGCCATGCGATGCATGCCCACCATCACCCCTTCCATGAACCGCCGCGTATCCGTCCCATTGGGCGGCGGGTTTATGTACCCATGCACGTTCAGCCGAAAAAGGCCGGCCTTCACAGCAGCAGGGAACTTGTACGTGTACCGGAGAGTTGCGCCGACGAAACTGTCAAATCCCGCAACTTTTGTCGGTAGCTTGCGTCTCTTTAAGGTCGCTGTGAGAAGCTGGATAAGAGTGGTCAGCTTCTCAGGGCCGTAGTTGCACCCCTCGTTCTTTGCGCCCTGCGTCCACCACCCCTCCAGTGCCTCATTTGCCGGGTTCATGGTCGAAAACGTCACGTTCCAATACCTGTGATAGTGCTCGATCACTGAAGCTTGGTACTCCGTGTACGCTTGGAAATACTCGGGCTTTAAGTTGCACTCGTTCTTGGCCGTCCCAGCAGTGTCCCCACTGACGGTCATCCACCAGGGCGGCGTGTATGACACCGCCTCGACTTCGTCCACATTCCGCGCCAGGGCAGCGAGCATCGTCCGCCTCTGCCGCCCGTCCGCCGTCCAGTCGTACGGCCCATTCGGCTGGACGCGGAAACCGGGGATAGAGCGGGTTTCCCAGGCGGCGGTGAGGAACTGCGGGCTGTTGGTGTAGTTGACGCTGCCGCCTATGAGGTAGCGCGCCAGGTTGAGCCCGATGCCCTTGTCCTTGTCAAACAGCAAATCCATGATGAGATCGAATTGATCATCTGGCAGCTTGCCCACGTAGTTGGCGAACCTGCAAGCGGGCACGGGGTAAGGGGCATCCAGCAAGGGACAAGGGGTAAGGGTCATTGAGGCATGGAAGGTGAGAGAGGGAGCATGAAGTATGTGGTGTGGCGCATAAGACAGCAGGTCCATGATGAGAGTCAAACTGCTTGCCAGAGAACTTGCCAACATATTTAGGACATGCGATATGGGACATGCGATATGGGACATGCGGTATGGGACATGCGATATGGGACATGCGATATGGGACATGCGATATGGGACATGCGATATGGGACATGCGATATGGGACATGCGATATGGGACATGCGACATGGGACATGCGACATGGGACATGCGACATGGGACATGCGACATGGGACATGCGACATGGGACATGCGGTATGGGACATGCGGTATGGGACATGCGGTATGGGACATGCGGTATGGGACATGCGGTATGGGACATGCGGTATGGGACATGCGGTATGGGACATGCGATATGGGACATGCGATATGGGACATGCGATATGGGACATGCGATATGGGACATGCGATATGGGACATGCGATATGGGACATGCGATATGGGACATGCGATATGGGACATGCGATATGGGACATGCGATATGGGACATGCGATATGGGACATGCGATATGGGACATGCGATATGGGACATGCGATATGGGACATGCGATATGGGACATGCGATATGGGACATGCGATATGGGACATGCGATATGGGACATGCGATATGGGACATGCGGTATGGGACATGCGGTATGGGACATGCGGTATGGGACATGCGGTATGGGACATGGGACATGGGACATGCGACATGGGACATGCGACATGGGACATGCGACATGGGACATGCGACATGGGACATGCGACATGGGACATGCGGTATGGGACATGCGGTATGGGACATGCGGTATGGGACATGCGGTATGGGACATGCGACATGGGACATGCGACATGGGACATGCGACATGGGACATGCGACATGGGACATGCGACATGGGACATGCGACATGGGACATGCGACATGGGACATGCGACATGGGACATGCGACATGGGACATGCGACATGGGACATGCGACATGGGACATGCGACATGGGACATGCGACATGGGACATGAGACATGGGACATGAGACATGGGACATGAGACATGGGACATGAGACATGGGACATGCGACATGGGACATGAGACATGGGACATGAGACATGGGACATGAGACATGGGACATGAGACATGGGACATGAGACATGGGACATGAGACATGGGACATGAGACATGGGACATGAGACATGGGACATGAGACATGGGACATGAGACATGGGACATGAGACATGGGACATGAGACAAGAGCCATGAGACATGGGACATGAGACATGGGACATGAGACATGGGACATGAGACATGGGACATGAGACATGGGACATGAGACATGGGACATGAGACATGGGACATGAGACATGGGACATGAGACATGGGACATGAGACATGGGACATGAGACATGGGACATGAGACATGGGACATGAGACATGGGACATGAGACAAGAGCCATGAGGCATGGAACCATGCCACTTAGCAGCTCACCATGCCAGCTGGGCGACTCACCATGCCAGCTGGGCGACTCACCATGCCAGCGAAGTGCCCCAGCCTCGCCACGTCTGTCCGTTCCAGTCCGGGGCGATGGTGATGGTGGAGGTGGCTGCGTGGCAATGGAAGGGAATGAAAGAGAACGAGGTAAGGGGGAGGAGAAGGAGAGAAGACATTGAGTCAGCCACGCCGCACCTGTCCCGTTCCAATAGGGGGCGATGGTGATGGTGGAGGTGGCTGCACGCATGCAGGGAGGGGGGAAGGGAAGGGAAGTGAGAACTTCCTTGGCTGCCACCTGCTTTGGCTCAACACTTTCAACGTTTTCGCTCCCGCTCATCCTCCCACCTCGACTCTATAACGCGGATAACTCCCTCCCAGATCTGCATCAATAGGTCTCAATTGCAGGGCATTGCCCGCATTGCCCCCCCTTCTTGCCCCCATCGCATCCCCCTTGCCCTCATTCCCCCCCTCCCATCGCCCCTATTGCTCCACCGCGTGCCCAGCCCTAATCCAGTGGGAGTACTCCCTCCACTTCCCAGGGTCCTCCTGTTCCTCAAGGACGTCATGCAAGTGATCTCATTGTCAAGGGGGAGACGTGGGCGAGAGGTGGGGAGAGCTGGGCAGAGGTGGGGAGAGGTGGGGAGAGGTGGGGAGAGGTGGGGAGAGGATGGATATCTCACCTCCAGATCGACACACGCTAATGATTTCATTATCGGGTGTCAGCTGCGCCTCGTTCCCCGCGGGCGGGGTACTCCCCCCATCCCCCTCGCCTGGCCCGTCGTTGGGAGGGGAAGGGGGGGGCGCGGAAGCCTGCGCGATCACTCCGCCCGCCGCGGAAGTGAGGCTTTGCGCGGTAGCTTGGCGGTGCGCGGAGGAGGCGGCGGCGGAAGCCACGCGCGCGGATGTTCCGCCTTGCGCCGTCGTCATGCGCGGCCGCCAGCACTCCTGCGCCGCCGGCCACAGCAGCATCCACTCCGCGTCGCACTCGCCCGCATCGGCGCCACTGGCGGCGGCGGAAGCCACCAGGGAGCGCCCGCGCGCGACTGACTCCGGTGCTCCCCCATCTGTAGACTGCGGAAAGACTTCCGTCGCTTCTACGGGCCGCCCCGACTTCCGCTCGAACACGTGGCGCTGACGCGGCGACCGCACAGCTTCATGGGTTAAGGGAAAGTTCAACGGCGGGTGCCACGCGCGGCGGAGCAGCGGAGTGTAAACGCTCGTGCTGTTCGAGTCGCGGTTCCTGGTCACGGGCGGAACTGAGGCAGGTGGCAAGTGCGCGCCGATGGCAGCGGCGCGGGTGGCTGAGAAAGGCCTGTGGGGAGGGGACGAGGAGGCTAGGAGGAGGAGTATTACTGGTAGGAGCGGGGGCGACGGGCTAACAGACCTAATAGCGACCATCTTTTTAAGCGGCAGTGTAGTTCAATCTGTTACAGAGCCGAAGGGCTCCGCCGAAAACGTTTATTTCTGTTAGTAAGCTCTCGTGTCGCGCGGTATAAACATGCGTAGGCTGACATTGGACGACGCCGTACAGATAACGGTTCTAACCTGATTGAACTCTAAATACGGGGTTACTACGACCTGCAAACGCTTCGGACGACGAAGCACGGCGGGGAGTGGCGCGGCTCACTGCTGACTCTCTTATTTCGTTTCGGAGCAATTTTTGCCGCGTCTGCAAAACCTGCGTCTCCTTGTGTGCCACACGCCATCGACCGCTGCTGGTACGGTTTGCCATGGCCAATTCGCAACTGCGCTTCACGTAGTACAGTATCGTGAGGCCGATGTATACCGCCAGGAATATAGGCACGCGCTTTCACGAAACTCCTTCCAGCTAGGAGATTGGACAGGAAGCATCCGACTAGGCTAGGCTAGGCTCGTGTGCCTGGGATGTGTCGACAAAGAAAGTGCACGGAACAGTCCAGCGTGGCAAAGATTTCACACATGATTTGAGAAACACGAGTTCGATTCGTACACACCTGTTCTGTAGGCGTTAAATTTCGGGAAACTGGGTCCGCAGAATCTTTGCCGATAAGTGGTTTTCTGCCTATGAAGGTTCGGTGATAAGCGAATTCCTGCCAAACCTGTTCGCGCCAAATTTAACGCTCTCGCCCGCAGAACACCACTTTTAGGGTGCACAAGTTAATCGTCTGCAGGTTCGAAGTTGTTGGTTCGCCGGGCAAATGGCCGAACAACTTGTGCGGTGCTGATTCTACCTCGGGAGCTAGCATCAGCCTCCGCACAAGTTATGCGGGGCAGCAATTTCCGTGCCACGCAAGCAGCGTGAATGCGCCTAGAAATTACGCAGAAGGCTACGGCGGTCAAATTGGTGCGGCGCCAATAACGCCTGCAGAACAACGCCCTCATTGTCAGGTCATCCAAACGTGTACCCGTCGAACCGCTTGGGAAGGACGACATTGGAAAGGAGGGCGGGAGGGAGGGAGGTGGGTCTGTTTCGGTCTATCCTCGATATTGATATTCATTATATTAGAGTGGAACATATGATTTGCCAAAAAACTGCATATAGCGTGCCATTATGGCTACAAATATATATATGCTTTCTATTTATATCTGACCAGATTAATGGGTAATCCCACAAAAAACCCAGAAAGAGAAACTGCAGCGCTTCATTATTATCTCACATAAATTCGCTTCCATCGCTACTTTCGTGTTCCCCCCTGCGCCACGCGGCGGCGTACATGCATTCCGCAGAGTGAATATCCGAGGTGATATAGTCCTCCGTGCGCCCATCCAGGAATCCCCTGCCACTATCACTCTCCACCTCCACCGGCTCGCGCAGCAGGCGGGTCAGCAGGCGGTACCGCAGCGAGCGCACCTTGCGGGATTCCTCGGCTCGGAAGGTCTGACCCAGCACGCCGTGAATGCCACTCGTGTGCTGCAGAGGGGACAAGGAGGGGGGCGTCCAGACGGAGGGGAGAGGAGGGAGATGGGTGAAGGGAAGACGGTTGCATGGGCGATATGGCAAACATCATCACACCCAACCCCAGAGAAGATGGTTATCATGGCAGCATGCAGCTGGGCAGAGCACGCCGCGTTTGTGTTCTGCAGAAGGGACGAGGAGAGGGTGGTCCAGAGGGAGGATAGAGGTAGGGAGATGGTTGAAGCGAGGATGATTGCCTGTGAGAATGTGAAAAAAAAAAGTTACCAGACTCGAAGCCAGAAACTGTCATCATGTAAGCACATGGCCAGGCACAGCAAGCGCATAACAATCACAGAAAAGAAAGAAAAGAAAGTTTTGCTCACGTTCAGCCGGGCAATGTGGACGTTGAAATGTGTCTGGGCCTCCGTAGCCGTCTGCATGAGCGGATGCGCCAAACGTGCCGTGATGCCCATGACCACCAGTCCCGCCGCTGCCAGTGATGAAAGAGCCTGTGGACAGAGGCGGGGCCACCGATGTGCCGTCTATCTCCAGTCGGTCGATGAACCCGCTGCTGCCCCTCCCTTGCTCCTTGCCGTCGCACGCCTTGATGAACACAGAGTGCTGCGCGCCAGTCGAATCGCGCCACATCACTTGGAGCTCCCTGGAAGAAACAAAGTACGAAGGTTAACGTGGAACGTGAGCATTATTACAAGTGAAAACAGAAGGGAAAACTGCAAAGAAAACAACTCATTAAACCACGCACGGTGTAACGTACCTGATCCAACTGCGAATTGGCTTTGCTTTTAAAAGCCTCTTCTTAAGCTCATCCTTCTCATACTGAATCGAGTGATGCTCCTCTTCCCCTCCATTCCCGCCGCTGCGACGACCCATCTCACGGTCAAGTGCCGCCACCACCTCATCAGTCAATGGCAGGCTCCCATTGGCCCGCATCCTCTCCAGCTCGCTCAGTTCCTCCACGCTCAGCCTCTCCTGCTCCAGCTGCCTGATATGACGTGGCTTCTTCTCATTGGCCGCTGCCTCCAGCGCTGCAGCGAGCGACTCTTCATCCAATGATGTCGCCGTGCCGGGGAGATTCGCGATGGGCTGGTAGCCCTTGATTCCCATGTTGATGTGGATCCGACTGTCGGAAAGCAAGCAGAAGGAGCGATCGAGAAGGCCGTTGAAGTCGTACTGGGTGCCGTCTGCGCCCCGGAAATGCGGATCATCGTCCGTGCCGGCAAGGGGGTTGCACTCTCCGCCGAAGAACGTTGGTTAGATTTGCACGTCCCAGTTCTTCACGGTGAGGCCTGCCTGTGAGCCCAGCATCGTGCATTGGCCACTGCTTGGTTAGGGGGTTCGAGAAGTTAGCCGCAGGAGGTGGGAGGATGTGGGAGGCGATAGTTTTCAGAGGAATGCAGAGGCGTGCCTCAAGGTGAAAGCAATCATACTAAAATAACTTGCTGAAGTCACGCAGTGTGAGTAAAGCAGTACACGGGCTGGACAAGAGATTGACAAAACAGAACGTGATTATGATCACACAAAGTGCAATTTTCAGATGAAGATGCTTACGGCTGGCCGTTCATTGGGGGTTTGAGGTGCCAGTACTTGCAGCCAACCTGCATGGCACAGCGCTGACAGCATTCCAGTCTTGGTGGAGTACCTGGCTGCCATGAAGAGAGAGAGAGAGGGAATAATAAGGCGGCAATATAACAAAAGTTGCATGTAGCCGAACGAACAGTGTACCACCGAGCAGCTGCTAAGACAATGACAAGAAACGGAAAAAAGTACGGGAGGGCGGAATTTCTTTGTCGTATTAGGGTTGAATCAGTGGTTACCCAGGAGGTCAACTTGGAATTAACGAGATCCGCGATCGCAGGGTCGAGAATGTAGCGCTCGTAGTTGTAGTTCCCGAGAATAAATGCCGGTCCCGACGCTCTCGTGTCTTTGTCCTCCTTGCCGGGTCGAATATACTGTAATACCCCATTAACATCTTCGCGCATTTCTTCTAACATGCGTTGGGTTGTGTCAGGGGGCCGTGCGGTGCGTCCTCGTCACGTGCTTCAGTATGAGAGGGCGCTCCCAGAAGCACCGCGGCGATCAACACCAGCAGCAACGGTGATGTCGCTCCGACGGCACTTCTTCCACCAGCAGTGGCGAAACGGCTTGAAGCGCCGTGTTTCTCCAGTTGATTCGAAACTCTGAAAAAGAAGGAATTGTCTCGTTTCTTTACTGAGCTTAAGGCCAGTCACTCAAATCTATGACTGCAGCGCCAAACTAGTACTAGTAGGTCTGAATTGCCACTGGCAGCGACAAGGAGCCAGTGTCAGCATGTCGGAATCCAAATCAAGAAAGGTTGGAACTGCGTTAGCAACGCACCGCGCATTCGAGTCGGGTCGACATTCACTCGTTGTACGGTCTCTGAGAAAGAGAGCTTGGGCTATGACATGAAGCCCATCCATTGTACAGTGAAGCCACGTAAGCTTTGTTTTGCTTGACTTCAAGGTCGGTGACAAAGGTATGTCCTCGTTTGGCAGTACACTGTATAAAAGCTCCGAGTGTGGCTACTAGTCAAGAAGCAACCTCAGGCCGTGGTACACCTGGCTGAAGATCGTGTGAATGGAGAGGATTAAGTAAGGCGATCTTAAGAAACCGTTTCCTGCCTTCCTCGTAGAGTGACAGCTGTTATCAGTGCTAGCCAATCGAAATCATCGAAAGCATTTCGATGCTCCATCTGTTGGTACAGCATGTGATCACGGGTAGGAAGCTGTTCCGTAAGATTGCCTCACCTATCCTCCACTGTTCGCAATCTTTAACCAGGTGTACCACGGCCTCAGTAGCAGTCGGACCAGCTGCTGTTGGAACCGAGTGTCCAGATGAATCTGCAGGTCACTTATGTACGGGTCGAACGCTGCAAAACGTGCACGAGAAGGCGGGTATCTAGCAAGACGGACAGTGCTTGACGACGACCTAAGAACTCTCAGATTTGCAAGGCGTGCGACAAGTTATAACTACGGCGAGAGTTCGCTTCCTCGATTTTTCTAATGGTGAGGTATGCGACTGAACTTTCAGGCGAACCGAACAGAATTGCCTTTCCTACTGGCGAGGCGACTCAAACTGGCAGACTGTCAGTCTTCCCATGCTGGCAGACTGTCAGCCGACGCTGGCAGACTTTCTACGTGTAGTACCGCATTTTAACGTTTTGACGTTTCTAGTATTACCGCGTTCCGTTCAGCTTGCACATTATGATTACACCTAGATGTTACGAGCATTTCACGAATGCTATGAGTTGTAAAAGAGAGTAGAATAAAGGATAATTGTAAGGAAATTTCCTTTTACTAACTTCGCATCCCTGCTCAGCGCGTACACCACTGTTCCCACCAACAGTTCTCAACAGTGCACTGCTACCACTCGCGACACTCGCCTTGACTACTGTTCCCGCCACTGTTGATGACACGACCCAACCTCATGGTTCTGTTGGTAACCCGCGCTCCGGACCTCCGCCTCGACAATTCCCAACCTCGGCGCTAGGCCCGTAGCGCACTCCAATTTCACGCATTACCGTTACCACGTTAGCTTCGCTATATATCGTTCGCTCATGCCTTCGCTCAATGTACTGTTTTGCTTCGATAGTGCAATTCTCGCTCGCTCACTCAATTGCACTCGTAACACCTGGTATTCATAGCCTATGATCTCCTCTCGGACCGCACCCACACCTTCGCTTCCCCACTATCTCAATTTTCGGAGGGGGTAGACGTCTTTTAGCGAACAAGCACCATCGATTGAAATGCTCTCTCGTAACTACGCACGGTCGCGGCAGAGGCTCTCACTGAAGCTTGCCCGACACCCTCGCCATGGCCTAATTGAACCTCGCAACATTGACGCAAGAGCAACTCGACCGGCTCGTGCACCAACTCGAAGATTCACAACTCAAAATTGCGACGCTCATGGCGGAATTTGACTCCGCCCGCCAGCAATCAACTGCAAATGCACCAGCACCAGCGCAAGCACCTGCAAATGCACCTGCGCAAATGGACGAGCCGATCGTCATCTCGTCCGCCACACCATCATAACACGTGTGAAAGGAGAGAGGAATGGTGTGAACTAGAAAGGTTGGGAGTACAAGTAGGAAACCCTAACATATTGTACCCCCTATGGCTAAACCCACGTAGCCTACAGAAATACAACATATAATGTTTGACACACCCCCATAGGCAAAGTGGGGGAGAACAAGGGGTCACAAGTCCAGTCAAGCAAAACAGGGCAAGCTCAGGGTGGATCACAACGTCACCACACATTCCGAGCACAGGTTCAAGGCCACAAGGCCAGTTCACATGCAGGGTTGTATATAAAAGGCAAACAAACAAGAGCAGGTATATATAAATCACAGTACAAGCAAGGTCAAGAAGTGAGCAAGTGAGGCCAAGTAGGCACAAGACCTAGCATCGTACAAAAGCGCTGATGATCACAAGGCTGAAGTGCCTTGGTAAAGATATCAGCAGTGTTGGCCTGAGAGGCCACGTAAGCAAGGCGCAGCTGACCACGCTGCTGCAGCTCACGAGCAAGGAAGTAGCGAAGAGCAATGTGCTTCGTTCTGTGCTCCAGTCTGTGCTCCCGACACAAGGCCAGCATGGCCTTGTTGTCTACGTACAGAACTGGAGGAGAACGAGGCGGCTCTCCAAGGTCAGTCAGCAGGTAGGTGAGCCAGCGTAACTCCTGAGCAGCCATGGCTCCTGCGTAGATCTCAGCCTCACAGCTGGAGCTGAGAACAGAAGACGAGCGGGTAGACCGCCACGAAACCGAACCGGAGCCAAGGCTGAAGGTGTAACCCTGTGACGACCGCTGCGTAGCCAGGTCGTCGACCCAAGACGCGTCTGCGTGACACGTGAGGACCACTGGACTCTGCCCTCCAAGCACGAGCCCCATGCCCGACGTACTGCACAAGTAGCGCAACACCCTCTTCGCTGCAGCCATGTGCTCTGGTCGGTGTCTCCCAGGAGCAACATAGCGTGCCAGAATGCTAAGAGGGTAGGCCAGGTCAGGTCGAGTGCAGGTCATCAGGTACATGAGGCAGCCAACAAGCTCTGGGTACGGGCCACTCGGCTCTACGGACTCGTCCGAAGGCAGAGCTGAGAGCGAGTGGCGAGTAGACAGAGGAGTGGCCTGAGGCGAGGAGTACGTGAAGTCGAAGCGCTGAAGGACCTGTTGCACCATGTGTGACTGAGTCAGGGTAATGGTGCGCCGTGCTCTGTCCCGAGTGATCTGCAAGCCAAGATAGCTGCGCAGTTCACCCAGGTCTGTGCACGTGTGTCGCTTCTGCAGCTCGGACTTCACGTAGGCGAGTCCAGCAGTGTCAGCTGTAGCAAAGACCAAGTCGTCGACGTACACGAGGATGTAGAACGGCGGCAAAGAGGTGTCGGTGCGTAGAAACAGCGACGGGTCTGCAGTAGAAGGAGCAAACCCAAGAGCCGCAAGCGTAGTCCTCATTGTGTCGTGCCACTCACGCGGCGCCTGGCGGAGACCGTAGACTGGCCGCCGGAGGCTCCACTAGGTACCAGGAGGAAACGACCCAGTGAAGCCAGGTGGGCGGCACAGCCAGATCTCCTCGTGCAGGCTGCCCTGTAGGAAGGCTGTGCTGAAGTCTAGAGAGTGAAGCTCGTAGTCACGGTGAGCGGCTATGTGTAGCAGCACCCGAAGAGTGGTCATCTTCGGGGTGGGAGAGAAGGTCTGAAAGTAGTCAACTCCCTGCCGCTGACTGAAGCCTCGAGCCACGTAACGCGCCTTGAAGACAGGCGGAGAACCCGGCGGCCGCTTCACCCTGAAAATCCACATGCCACTGACGATGTTCGCCCCAGGTGGGGGAACCTCGTCAACATGGGTGCCTGTGGACTTCCATGAAGCCATCTCTGCGTCCATGGCTGCCTGCCACTGAGAGGAGTAGGGACCCTCTATCGCCTCCGCGTAAGAGCGCGGAGTCGGGATGTCTAATGCATCCGGGTCTCCCTCAGGGGCAAGCAGCGAGGACACAAGATGAGGTAAAGCAGCAGCAAGACACTGGAACTCCTCTTGCCTGTCCTCAAGGACGTCCGTGCTAAGAGCACACTCACCCCCGACGGACGGAGGACAGACAGACTCAGACTTAGCAACAAGACTAGCGACGTAGTCTAGACGACAGGCAGCAGCAAAGTCAACAAGCTCAGCAACCAAGGCAGATGTAGCAGTGGACTCAAACGACGGGTCAGTGACAACAGTAGCTAACAGACGCGTGACAGTAGGGTGCTCAGCACGAAACCGGTCAGACGCAGGGTCCGGAACGGCAGGCAGAGAGGACGCAGGGGGGGAAGGCAGAGGAGCAGACTGCGGAGCAGAGGAAGGACGACGGACTACAAGGTGTGCGCTGGGGACAGCCGGCTGACGCGCACGAGCGACACGACGACCGGTACGACCAGAACGAGCAGGCGAGACAGGACGCGACGCAGGCTCACGACGCTCAGCAAGACTACCTGTCTGCTCAGTGTAGGGAGAAGGAGCAGGGAGCGGTGAGCCAGGCGGTAACGGAAGACCAGTAGACGACGGGAGAGTAAGAACCTGACGAAGAACAGAGTCAGACGGCGGCAGCGACGACGGAGACGGCGGAGCGAAGAACAGTCGTGTCGGCGCAGCTGCACCAGCTCCGGCAGCTCCAGCAGCTCCAGCAGCTCCAGCAGCTCCAGCAGCTCTAGAAGCTCCAGCCTCATAACCGGGACCTCCAGCGCCAGCAGCTCCAGAGCCAACGCCACCAGTAGTAGCACCCCTTGAACCGGCACCTGCAGTCCCAGGGTCTCCAACCGCAGAGTCTCCCGCAGCAGCACCCCCAGAACCAGCACCGCCGGTCCTAGGGTCTCCAACCGCAGAGTCTCCCGCAGCAGCACCCCCAGAACCAGCACCTCCAGCCCCAGGGTCTCCAACCGCAGCGTCTCCCGCAGCAGCACCCCCAGAACCAGCACCTCCAGTCCCAGGGTCGCCAGCCTCAGTG